TGAGCATCATTTACCATCCATGCATTTAACGATCTGAGTCAAATACTGGCTAGTTCTCACATGAATATCATGCCAACGCTGATCTTTTGAGAGCAGAGAAGTTTCAAGGAGTTCAGACTCTTCTGGATCTATGTATGCTGCCACTGTAGGAAATGTATCCACTGTCAAGTGTGACCATATTTCTGCCAAAGTGTTTCCGGCAAACTGAAAATTCTTCTTCTCTAAATCTGTGTCTATTGTGACTCCTCTTTCATCCAAATGACTGCCGTAGTGGTCATGGGGTAAAACAAATGATGTGAGCTCATTGCTAAGTGGCGCCATTTTTCTTTCAACCCTATTAAATGCACTTCTTCCTGGTGCATTTGTAGCAATGAACAAACCATAATAGTTCTGATTGAGAAAGTGGTGTACCGCAACTTTGATCACCTTTTGATACCTAGGATTTTCGTCTGGGCCACCAGCAACCGTCAACACTAATATTGGTTTAACAGTTTTATCCACACCGCTCTTTGTGATATCATCAAATTCATGTAAAGTAAGTAATTTTTCAAAATCAAGTCCATGACTAAGCGCTGTGGATGAGGAATGTTTACCAGATCTGATTGATATGTATGTTGGGCCGGAGTATCCAACAGCTTCTCGATTTCCCAAGGCGTTGGGCTGAATTTTTATCCCTGCATAAACTGAAGGGATCAGCTTATGTCCAGCAGCCACAACCCAGTCATGGTCCGGCAAGCTCACCCTGTATTCCATGTGCAGGAGCAATGGACTCTGTTTTTTAGCTGCTGTCAACCCAAGCGGAACGCGGGCCTTGTCATCTTGACTTATAAAGCATACCTCATTCGGTCCAAGCATGGAAGCTAACTCTTCTAGGTGATGCAGTGTTGCCGCTGTAAACAAGCGATCAATGTGATTTGCATGGCAATCGTTTTGCGCTCTTATCAGTTTTACTGGGACTGTCGATACATGTTGTTGCCGTTCATGAGAAGAAGTACGTCTTGGCAACAGTCGAAGGTACAGCCCACTTCTACTAATTATAAACCCATCCTGTTTTAACTGATCAGTTAGCTGATCTAATGTTTTAATAGTCCTGTAGACTTCGTTCTGCCTCCTCTCGTGTGATGCTGATCCATGCATAGCAATGTTTATGATAGTTTCCAATAAAGAAGATTGATCTTCTTCAATCCTTGGCCTGCCAGAATTAGATCTAACATTCAAAGTGGCGCGTAGCCCCGGATTCTCTTCAAACAAAGCATTCAGTTTTCTTTTCTTTTCATTTCGAGCTTTCTGAGATCTTATTTGATCAGATATCTTCCTCTTTAGCCTTTTTTTCCAAATCACTCTTTTTCTGTTTCTTTTTTAAGCTCCATGTTCTGTTCCTGCGTTAACATTCCGCGAGTTTGTCGCGCATACAAGCCAACTAGATCAGAATTCAGAATCTCAATCTCTGATTGTAAGTTTATCTGGACTGTAGCCTGCTTAGATGTTGATGGTTTGCTGGTAGAGGGTTTGAAATCACTGACTTCATGAGCATCGTTCACTTTTTCATCTGACTTCAGTGACTTATTAGTATTAGGTATTTCTTTTGCCAAATCATAGGGTGTTTTCTTATTTGTAGATGTAGATACAGATGTTTGTTTGGCCCAAAACGTCAAAAGTGAGCCTTTTTTTAGCGGCAGCAATTGCTTTTAGCTCTTGCAGCCAGACCTCCGCCTTCAAGTGAAGATCTAAATCGCTTTTTAGTTGAGTCCACTTTTCAACGACTTCTTCTTGGCAAATCTTTTTACTCTTTTTAGGATATGCCAGCACGTAGGCATCAAAAATACATTGGAACATTTTATTTTTATCCATCATTAACTGTCGATTTTTAAGCAGTATATATGAGATTATTAGATCTACCTTTCAATTGAAAAGCCTCACACAGACAAAGTTGATTCAGCAAGACACGTGTAGGCCTATTTAAGTTGATCTAATAAACACGCATCACAAGCTGACCCTACACACATCCGCTTTTTTTTGGCCGCACCTACAAAAATCACGTGATCTCGACCTTGGAACTGATCGTACTAGTAATTTTTCCACTAGATCGTTCAACAAGCATGAGCTATCGGCATGAACACCATGATGTAAGGGAGACAAGGCGTGTCATCAAGGGCAAGAGTCGCAGCCCTAGAGTGAACATAAGTTTTTAAATAAAATATTCGGAAAACGGGGTTTAAAGTTTTATTATGACTGCCCTACTCTGTAAACTTCAAAGAATAGCAAGCATTACACTGATACCCATGCCTCACCCTCACTAGTTGATACGCTTCCGACCTTTATTCATATAGCAGTATTGACAAATTTGCATATACGGCAGTCTACTACACAACACACATCAAATTATAGGGCAATTTAATTAGAACAAATATATATTTCACAATCTTTTGACAACTTAGAAGTATCGCAACCAATTTAAAAAAAATTATTTAGTATTTAGTATGTTTATTTTTCTAAAAACTAAAAAAATGCATGTTAATCAATTCGTGGAATTAAGACAACGTGACGTCACACTGTCTCTACCCCCGCCCTCCCTCTCGTCACACATCGTCACAAAAGTCTGAACCCCCTCCCCCCCCCCCCCTAGGCGTGTGACGTCATTTATGGACGACCCCTATGTACGAGAAAGTTCAGGAGATCTCACTCGCGCTTTGTTTTACTTCTACCGACGTATGTTTGTTTGTTGTAGATATTCTGACACAATGGGCACGTACAGTCTAATAGAGTAATAATATTTTTTTAAGTATGGCAAGCGATAACATTATAGTTACATTTGTAAAAATAAAGCCGCTTGGAAACCGTCGATTACACTCATTTTTATATTTTTGTATTGAATATAAGCCGTTGAAAAGCCGTATAGAATTATTTGATCAATTCAAATATTTTCAAAAACTGGCCTTTTTTGAAGAAAAAAGCGGAAAATACCTACTAATTAATAAGACAGTTTGTATTTATTTGTGTGTATCAAAGTTAGGGTACTTAAAGGAAAATATTTAGAACAGAAATGATCACACAATAAAGCGATAGATTGGTATCTTAATATGAGATAGATGAAAGACAAAATTGATCACCCCATACGCAACCCAATCATAATTAAATCTTGCTGAAAAACAGTTGCCTCAGAGGTCCAAATGTTGATTCTGCTGCCAAAAAAAAATCAAACTAAATACAAACCAACATAAAATGATACAATAAAAAAAAGTAAGCCAGAAAATTACTTTCTATTAGTAGTTTTCAACAGCGAAAAAATATCATCATCAAAAATACAGAAAATACTAGGAATACGATTGAGAAAATAAGGATCCGTATCAACTGTTTATGCGCCATTGAGGCCATTGACTCCGATTTCAGCCTGCTTTTCTTTTTGGATTTGCTTCAATAGCCTTTGTCCATCCAAGAACAAGCTACAAGGCAGCAGTTGTTTGATTTTGGAGTTTTCTCTCCTAGAAGAGTGGCTGTCCCAGGCTAACGAGCCTCATCTGCTTTTGATTTAAGGCATGCAAAAATTGAACGTATTTATTTCATATAAATTGGTTTGGATTATATTTGCGGCATACCTAATTGAAATATATTTGGTGAAAATAAATTTACATTCATTTTTCGGCGAAAAGAAACAAAATTTTTTATTTCGCGTATAAACTCATAGCATTCTAAATAAAAAAAGGCAAATAACAATAAAAACGTACAATCCTCCATAATAGCCACCATATGTTTATTCAAAGATGTTTACTCAATCCAGAATATTTCATTAAATATTGTCAAAGCACACTCATCAATAAATGTTTACTACTGAATAAAATATACACACACACACACACACACACACACACACACACACACACACATATATATATATATATATATATATATATATATATATATATATATATATATATATATATATATATATAATATTACATTACTGTTTCTCTTCAAAGCTAGTATAGATATAACTTTAAGTGATTTTCTCTACAAACATGTTTTAAATAAAAAGTCTCATCATCATACACCTTTTTACAGTGTGAATTTTAATGTTATGAATTTCATTCACAAAAGCATAAATTAGACGATGTATACAACACACGAACTTGCTCATTTCTACGTCAATAAGTTTTTGCTTTATATACATCTAACATCTAATTTCAGAATTTTATATAAGGTTTTATATATTTGAAAATGATTTAGAAAATAATAAAAGTATTCATTGAATCACGTTTTTATATTGTTAGAAAGTAAAGACGATAATTCACGGGTGTAAATAATGTTTTTAAACCATTCAGCTTTTAGACAATCTTGCATAAAGCATTTAATGAAACAAAATAAATAACCACAATGCACAGAGCTGCAATAAGTTGAAATTAAACGTATAATTTCTCAATGCAAATTTACTTCGTGTGTCCAGGTAAACACAGAAAGACACACATGAAGATCATTAGTAAATATGTTTATTGTTTACATGGCGGTAGGTCTAAGTGGAGCCATTTGTCAACTCACAATTGAGGGAATGAGAGTTTACCAAGCCAGTACATATTTAATCAAGTATTGAAAAACTATATATTAAATCATCAAGATTTTTTAATCAATTAAAGCATTTAATCTAAGTGAATGTTTTTTAAGTAGAATGAAGTCTAATTCAAAACTTTGGTGAGGCAAAGAAAAATGTGTGGGCTTATGTTGATGTTTGCTATAGCACCGAGGCATGCGATGTTAAAAAATAATGTTCTAATATGATATAAAAGGGTTACTGTATTTTGTAAACAACATCAGAATAACAAAAGGGTAAACAAGAAGTCTGCGAGTAAAAGAATTAAAATATATTGAAACTTAAGGGGAATGTCAAAGTAGGGTGAAACACGATTCACCAGGTTTTCATTGTTCGCAGAAACTTTCCTCGCCGGTGTGGGAGGTATCTTGATGGCACTGGCTGTTCTGTAATTTTTAAACAGAGCAGGTTTTGTGAATTATAGTCTGGAATTGGCCTGTTTGAGGACCAGTGTGAAGGCAACTGTATTGTTTATTACAAATTTGTTTTTCATGAGCTTGGACAGGCACGCGGTGCTGATGTCTTTGAGAGAAATTGCTGCAAACAGCTGACCAAGGTACGACCTGCGAAGTGACATTTTCTCACCTTCTTCTGTTCCATCGTCCACCTTCTTACAAAGTGAATTATAAAGTCCAGAATCTGCCTGATCCACACGTAATTTCCTGATACATTTATCTGGCTCAGGTGTGAGGTACGAGTCATCTGAATACGACCATTTTAAAATTGAACTAACGACAAAATCTTCGACAATACGAAAGTTTTTTAAAAGGTCTTTGAAATCTTCGAATGGAAATTCCATGAAGACGTCTGATCCGACTACCCTTGGGTAATTTTTCACGACGAACTTTTTGACTTTGGCTAATACACCAAACGAATTTAAAAGCTTTGCTGCTGCATAAATCCTGCAGTAGTTTTTCAACGTTAAGTTTTCACTTACGAATATCTGACAGACCGAATCTAAAAATTCGATCTGCAGTTGATTGGATGCACGCCACATTTCAACCATGTTTTCTTCGTCTAAAACAAGTGTTCCTTTGTAAATAACATCCAGTATAAGACCAAATATTTCTGGTGAGATGCCTTCTATGGTACAACATGATTCAGATTTTTCTTTAATATCTGATCTCAAGAGAGCCTCAAAGAAACCAGAACCGGAACTTAGGACAAACTTGTGACAACTGAATTGGAAGTCGCCAACTTTGACCGTAAAATCGGTATAATTTTCCATGTTCTTTTCAAAACATCTAAAGATGTCTCTTCCTATTTGCGCGTTGTAATGGCGAGCTTTGGATGTACTCTTATACATGATGGTTTTAGATTTTATTTTTCTGCAAAAATTGAACAGTGTTTTAAATTTTCATTTCTGTCTACTCATACGTCATTGGCTAAAATGGAAAAAAAACTTTAAAACAACATTAAATTTTAATTTCTGGAAGTGTGTCTGTATATATATATATATATATATATATATATATATATATATATATATATATATATATATATATATATATATATATATATAGCGTACCCGCCCCTCTCGCGTTGCCGCGGGGATAGAAGAAAGTTTGACGAAATATATTAGAAGGATTTCACCAACGCGTTACCAATCAAATGTTCTTAGACGCGTGACCTTCTTTTCTAAAAATGAGTTATTTAAAAGTAAACAAGGCACGCTCTTGGATCATAAATATCAGGTCACGGGATTACCTACCGCATGAAAACCTTGAGTGTACATTAATCACTCACCTAAATAATATGGTAGAACATACTTCGGTGACCGCTCATGTGTCAAAGACGTAGAGGCCCGCTCTCAGGAGCCCCCCCCCCCCCCCCCCGATTACACACACTACTGCATAGGTGCGGCGTACGACCCCTTTCTCCTTAAAACTAACAGGCGCCATCGTGCCAAATAGCATCCTGTTACAATGATCAGATTGCGTCATTCACTAAAGTGACACAAATGAACAGCATTTGTTCTTTTACACGTAAAAAATTATTTGACGCGTTTTAAACATCAGTGTGACTGATTCAACATGTTAGCGTTACAAATGTTATATTCTTAGATGCTCGATCTCAATTTCTGTTTGGATTATTTAAAAATAGATGCTAATTACATCATTGGCAAAATTGTGAGCCTTTGGGGGCCGAAACAAACATTTTATTTGCAGCCTAATCGGATTCTACCAATGAGCCAGAGGGCACGCCTGATTCAATTTAGTAAGCGTTTGTAACGCCCCATCCTATCCATTGTCTAGACATTGTTTAGACCGAACGTATTCACCATAGCGCTCACGGGAAAGACCAGGGCGCCAAATTGCACCCTCCCGTGGCGCCGCCCTTGCAAAGTTAAAAATTATTTTTTAAACAGAACACTTCCCGAGAGCGTTCTTATCAACTCCCTAGATTCTCATGGCTATTGGGAGAACGCTGTCAAACCAAAATAGACTTTTATTTTTATATGTCGTATTATGTGCGCCAGCCCTCGAATTTGAAAAGGTTTTTTTAGCGCAGAAACTTTTCCAGGAATATTCTCAACATCTTCCCAAAATTTCATGGTGATCGAGTGAACAGTGTCACGGCAATTCACTTTTATTATTTTTATATACAGTATATAAAGAAAAATCGCACTCTCCCGTGGCGTCGCCCTTGTGAAATTAAAAATGATTTTTATACAGAACCGTTTCCCAAAGTGTTCTAATGAACTCACCAAAGTTTGATGGCGATCAGATGAATGGTGTCAAACCAAAATCGACTTAATTTGTATATATCGTATATAGAGAAAAAACAAATCGCGCCCTGGCGGGGCGCCAGCCCTGCGAGTTTGATTTTTTTTTCCCGCAGAAACCTCCCACGGAAAATTCTCAACAGCTTCCCAAAGTTTCATCGCGATGTGATAAGAGGTGTGTAATGCATAAAGGACACACACACAGACAGACAGACAGACACATACATTGCATTATATATATATATATATATATATATATATATATATATATATATATATATATATATATATATATATATATTTATATATATATGATACTTGAAAAATAAATCATACATGGAAGAGCTTCTTAATTCCAATTACAAAACCAGGGCTGTATTGAATAAATTTCAACAGCCAAAATATGCACATAAGCTTAAAAAGATAGACTACAGATAATAAGACGAATATTCGATGCGCGGACCTTTGACCACAGGTGCTTTGACCAAAGAGGGTTTGACCATAGGTGGGGCTTTGTCCACAACTAGGCTTTGTCCACAGCGGGGCTTTGACCATCACGGTAATTTGACCAGAGGGGCTCCTTAAATTAAGGATACGTGTCAACTAGTTATGCGCCATTGAGGCCATTCACTCCGATTTCAGCCTGCTTTTCTTTTTGGATTTGCTTTCATAGCCTTTGTCCAATACATTTGTTAAAAATATTAGAATTATAATAATAGTATAAAAAGCTGAAACAACATTTAGAAAAATGTCCAAATCAAATCTGGTTCATTTTCATCACCAGGGAATTGTTTTTTAACGGAAACAAACTGGCATTAACTAGGTCATGTTAGTATTTAATATACGAAATACATATTTACAAATAAAAAAGTTGGGCCAATAGAAGTTAAGAGGGGTTTGTGGGTAATAAAAAGTCAATAAAAGTTTGTCTTTCATAATTTGTGATTAGTAGAGTAGAATATGTGAATAATGTAACTTGAAATGCAGACTAAAAGCAAAAAAAAAAATTAGAAGATTTAGATTTGCTAATGTATCGATCTTAATTTTTTTTAAAATGTCAAATTACCATTTCTTATTTATTATGTTTCAATTTTAATTTGTTTTATCAGTTGTATTGCTAATGGACTCCAGCAAGTTGGCGAGAATCCTTAAGTAATGTTGTTGACATGGAATAAAAATGTGCATTTTTAGATTTAGGTCTATAAAAATAATGAAAATAGAAATTTAAGACTAAAATTAATTCAGAAATTTAATATTTATAGAATCAATGCAAAAAAGTTGCAGATACAGAGAACATGAAAATAATTTGTTGAGTTTAAGGGTACATTTCTATTTATTTTCATCAAAACTAAGTTATTTCCCGATGTTTCACTTTCGCAAGACAAACATTGATTGGCTGTACAGGAACTCCGTAATCGATTTCTGACAGCCCCACTTTATATTTTTTTTATACATAACTCTGCAGATCAAGTTTTAAAATAACAATGAAAATTTAAACCCTATGACCTAGTTTATCTTTTTTTTAGCTTACAATGTGTACACTAAAATTTATGGCGGCCTAAAAGTGAAAACCAAATTGATTTGGCTTTTTTTTAGTTAGTTACCGAAAATATTAAAAACATCAAATACATCAAATCTTTAGTAAAGTCCGAAAAAAAACCAGACAGACAGGATTTTATAACCATATTAATTATAACTACACCGCGCAAGATTTTTAAATTAATTTATCTGCCTATCAAAAACCTTAGAGACTTTTCTCGCTGACGTCCATTAGAAAAATTGATAATTTTTTGGGTATAAGTTAGTTCAGCCGTCTTGCCATTTGTCATCGTATTACAAGAGTCATGTTTTCTTATGTAAGCTGAACAGTACTCACATTTTATTTTGTTTTATTAGCAACAATAACTTAAATAATGCTGGATAGTTACAAAAATTGTATGGGACAGTAAATGTTTATTAAACGCATTTCTTAGTCGCCATAAGTAAAAACAAACATGTTCATTTCCAATTGCACCAAATTGTAATGTGCAGCGTTTGGGAATACCCGAATATTTGGCAAATATTCATAATTGTTAAATAAACCGGGATTGATAGCCCCTAAACTTTTTCGAATCTAATATATAAAGCTCAATTCTGTGTGTAACTAACATGTAATAAGTTTGTTTGTCGTTGACATACTTCTATGGATTTAAGTGTTCGACTATTTACCGTGCTCACAGTCTAAATTTATGAGTTAAAAAAATTACTGTTGAAAGTGTTGGGAAATAATTTTCATTTTTCAAACTGATAGTAATAATTGTCGGCATGTTCATTAAACACAATTTTTAAAAATTATCATCTTTTACAAAAATTCTAATTATGTCTGAAAATTATTTAAATTTAGTCCTTTAGCACTTACTTCCCTTTGATAAATTAGGAAAGGTTACTATAGTCTTTAAGTGAATCGAATCCGGGCGTCCTCTGGTGCCCAGACAGGGTGCTATTTGGGGCCCCGGGCCTCCCGTGTTCGGTTTTGCGCCTACGTTTGTTTAAGTGAGTGCAAAAGACTATGAATAAGTTGGGGTTCTATAGTCGTTTATTAAGCTGAAACAGGCGATTCCGCCCCGGGCTAGACTGTGAGCACTTTGCGTTTATGTACGCGTTAGTGTTTTCTTTGTGTTTAGGTTGGGTTTGCGTTAGTGGTTGCGTTTTGGTTCGTTTTTGCTCTTTCTTTTTTGTTTTTGTTTGCTTTTTCATTTGTGTTTTTTTCTTTGGGTTTGTGTTTGTGTTTGGTTTTGCGTTTGGATTTGGATTGTTTTCGCTTGCTTTTTCGTTGTTTTTTTCTTTGTGATCGTATTGATGTTTGTGGTTGTGGTTGTGGTTGTGGTTGGGTTTGTTGTTAGGTTTTTGTTTTCGTTTGCTTTTTTGTTTGTTTTTTCTTTGTGTTTGTATTGGTGTTTGTGGTTTTGGTTTTGGTTGGTTGTGGTTTGGGTGGGCAATACCGGGTTTATGATGATTAATAAACACACAGGTTATGGTCTTTAACAGAAAGGTTTTTCACAGAAGCCAGACGAGGGCCTGGCCGGGACGGCTAGTCTAATACATAAAGTTCAATTCTGTATGTTTGTTTGTAACATGTTTGTAATCAAAGATTACAAAGGAATATAAGAAAAAACGAAAAATCGATACTTCCATGGATTTAAGTGTTAGATTGTTATAGTGCATATGGTCTAAATTTATGAGTTAAAAATTACTTTATTCCTTTGATTTGGAAAACAGTTATTTTCCTTTAAAAAAAACATTAAATCGGGGGGAGAAAGAGTTTACTTTTTATTACTTTGTTTTGGAAGAAAAATAATTATATAATTAGCAAGGAATGATTAAGTGCAATGTCGTTGGTATTTTTACTACTGCCTTTTATTTATTCCATACACTGAACATACTGTTTACTAATTACTTTTTTAAAATCAATAACAGTTAATAAGCCAGGTCCTACAAATCCTATTTGTTTAATTCTTTCCATTTTCGTAAAAGCTTGGAGTATTATAATTTTGTTCACTAAATTGAAACAGGCGCGTCCACTGGCGCCCCTCCACGGTTCG